AATATATAAAATTTAATAATTAAAAATAAAAATATAATTAATTCAATTATTCTATAGCTGGTTTATAATTTCGTTCTTATACAAACACAGCAAGTGAATTTGTTAATAAAACTTTCACAACAAATTAATTGGGTCAATTGGTTAAGGAGCGTTGACTCTGAGCTTCAAATTTGGCAGGGTACGAGTTAGATTCCTGGTACTTGCAGTCTCAAAAATAACTATTTACGAATAATTATATACAAGAATTATTTCCAAGACCACTGATGATGGGTATTTGGCAATACTCGAAACAGCTGTATGGTCAGCCAAAAATTCTATTAATAAAGATTATATAAAATGAATTTTTGTTGTTGTAGTTCACAACTGTTCGAAAAACCTCTTAATGAATATTGCATATTTAAAGTAGAAAAAAAATGTTTCTACTTACGAAATTATAATATTATAGCTGTGTAATTTGAAATTAAAATAAGATGTAAAAATTATGAAATTAAAACATAAAAATAATTTGCTTTACTTAATTGTTGGATTTGTTTAGCATTGAAAACTATTGGTTATAGTGATGTCGGCATTTCCAATTTTGTTTTTTTTTAATTTTAAAAATACTCATAAATTTTGATTTGATTTCTCGAGAAGTTTGAATTAGTTTATAACTAGTAAGTTTTTATTGGATGATATTAGTATGTCATTTTATATGAATTGTAACATGGTATTATGTTAGGTTCTAAATAATGATTTAAACAAAATTTAAACACCTTCAGTACTTTAACGTAAATTAATTTTGTAAAAAAACATTTTCTGTGTTAAAACTCCGAATAACGTGTGTAAAATTTGTTAAGAAAATATGAAAATATTTTGACAAAAATTCCTAAGAGACCATTATACAAATTGCATATCAATACATACTTGCTGCCCTATGCTCCTGCTAGGAGTTAAAGAAATTTGTATATCAATACATACTATATATATTTAACTCTGTTGAAAAAATCATAAGCTTAAAGCAGACAACTGAAACTTCTTAGTTTGGCTTGTAGAGACCCGTAGTGAGACATTTGCCACTAACAAGACAACTATGACATATACCTTAACAAAACCTGCAACAGGGGACAATTTGATGTGCATTGTTACTGTGTTATTTCTTACGGCTTTGTTGTTTGCTTTACCGCAAGTATTTCTGTTTCTCGACTGTCGGTTCACATACACTAACAATTGAATTTGTCTTGGTATTTATATATCTAAGCCAATGTATGAGTGTCATTCTCGCTTTACAGAGCAGCAAGTAAAGTTTTTGTAACATCACTGAGATTTATTTCACGCCAATGGCAATTTAGTACATATACATGCGTCTACGAAGCTGTCAAGAAAACACATAAGCGCACAAATTTATCTGTATCTTACGTACAACGGACTGAGTTTACGTGTGTCAAGTCAAACATACACTAGGCTTCCTTCTATAGAAATACCTTAGTATTGTTCGGAGACGTATATACTCCATGCACGAGTATGTCTATGCAAATACAATGATTCAAATTTGGGATTACGTTGATGTACAGAAATAAACCTTATAAACGCTGGGAAAAAGGTGACAGTCTGTCATTTGACTGTTGCTACCGTCTGACACTGAGCGAATGCGTTAAATTTCTAAGAAAAATACGTACAAATTTCCGTTTATCCTAACAAATTTCTGTGCGTTTTTCTGTGGTAAATTCCCAAGTGAATGAAAGTATTGCTTTATGCACTCATACATAACGTTTTTTACAAAGTATGTTTATTTTTAAAATATTTGAAAACTTATTCGTTTAGAAGATTCATATTGTATGCTTTGTTGAATATTTTCTTCTCTTATTTTTTTTTTTGCTTAGCGATCTCAATTTAAAAAATATTTTTCATCGCAATTTAATTTTAAAGAAAACATCTCGTGGAATGGTAACAAAAAAGGATTTTGTATGTGCGTTCATTGCAGCGCTTCAGTATCGGTATCGGTATCGGTATCCTTGCCCATTGTATTTTATGGATTTTGGTATGATTACATACACTACGTCGATGATGCTTATACGAGTATTAAAAAGGAACCTACGCAAATATGCTGATATATTGTAGTTGGCTTATATTTACTTTAGCTAAAATGCGTACGTATACTGCTTCAGTGTACCAGGATTTGTTGTAGTAGGTATGGTTTCGAATATGTTAGTGTATATGTCAAATTTTATTAAAAGATTTATTCATAAACATGCTACGCATAATTTACCAGACACAAAATATTTATGAGCAGCTTTGCGTTTGAATGCCTGTCTGCTTCGTCATATGTTATATCAACGCCAGCATTTGTTTGTGGAGTTGTTGGAAATATTTTAATATTCTGTGTTTTGGGTTATGTTTAACAAATGTTTAACAATTTATTAACTATTTATAAAAGATCATTGCAGATTCTGTTAATTTTTTTCTCGTTTTAGATTATTAAAAGACGTTAGTAGTTTTGTGCTTGAGCTTATGCATATATGCATGGCATTAACGAAACTTTCGGCTCAGTTTCATATTCGTTAAACATTTATGCGAAAGGATGTATCCTTGACACAAGAAGAAATTTAATTAAAATGCGTACATGAGTATATTGAAATAGAAGGCATCATGCTAAATAAAGCACTGGATGGGTTGTTGTTTTTTAACTAAATTAGTGGAGGATTCCAAATGAAAGTTTATATGTTAAAAATTTAACTTATAACATTGTATCAAACGAGTAGAAATAGTACAATTTAAATTGATAAGTTTAATTCAAAGTTTTTGTGCTCATCCAACTTTAACTGAATTGCATTTTGAATAAAGTTTTAGAAAGGCTTTTTATTTTTTCTTCACATAAAATATTTAAAAATACAAAATACATGATGACAAAATTTATAACAAATGGCGACATGTATATATGATTATTCTTCCATATATTTTTCAAACTTAAAATTGTTGAGTAGTTTCTCTTTTTGTTATAATATGTTTTTAGTACAGTTAGCTAGCACTTTTAAATTTGTTCATAATCTTCTCGTTTCTCGTTTTCATTTTTTAGATTTTCACATAAAATAAATCAAAAACAGTTTTATCATGATTTATGTAACACTTTCAAAAAAACGTTGCTAACCCATAAAGTATATATATTCCTAATCAGTTTGACGAGTTGAGTTTATATAACTCTATCTGCCCGTCCCTCTGTGTATTCGTTTTAGTTACAACCAGTCATTCAGTTTTTAAACTGAACTACTACGAATCAAACTTTGCACATATACTTTTCAGAAGTGGATCTTGACTACTTGTCGAATTGGCTGATATTGAAACTCTATATCCCATCGCTATCACATAAACTGAACAATCAATTATAGGGTTTCTACATTTTTGTTAAAGATATTAAAATAAAATTAGATGCGGAATGTATGCACTTATCATATGAAAAACTGTGCTTAACTTTATTTGTATTAGATTTGATTTGGATGTAGTAGCTACATGAACTGTTGATTCAGACACATGAACAAAACATTCGAATATGGTTGGTTGGTTGAAGTGGCGGCCTTGTATCCCAAAAAGTCCACTTAAGCACAAATAATAGCCCATTGTGGTACCACAGGAGTTACGCTGATTTGTATAAAGATTGTGTAATCAGTATACATTCAACGTCGGATGTATACTCCCCTATTATTTCGGATATGAGTTTTCTAAGTTTTTATATAAGATATTTAAATAAAATTAAATACAGAATATTAACTATTTTTATTTTTGTCATTCAAAAGTCTTTCAACTTTAAAAGCGTGAACAAAAAAATTAAAGTCTGCTCTAATTATTATTTATATATATTAAAAAAAATTTTAATATGGATTTAAAATTTTTCGTAAATGGTGTTTCGCACAAGGCAATGCTGGCATCATTGTTTGCTGCCAAATTAGAGATATTTGGTGCTGTTAACTGATAATTTGACTTTATTCAGTTAGCTCACATATGAAAGTTTAACTGAGTAGTACTTCCATGCATCTGTGAAGTAAATTTTTTGGTTTGCAATTTAAATTAATTAGATTTAGTAATAAAAATCATATAAGACTTCGTAAACTGTAACATTTTCGATATTTTGATCCATAAATAATTTCTCTAGATTTCTCTACAATTTCTCGACATTTCTTTATAAATAGTTTTATTAGGATGCTTTGATGATACTTTGCAATTTAGTTCATTAAAGTTATATTCAACTTCAACTTTTAAAATTCTAACTATTCCCTTTAATTTTAATTTACAGAGACTGAAATCTAATATAAGAAATATATAACTCATATGTTACATTTCCGAGAAATAAAATCAGTTATTAACTAAATGATATATTAAAGACATATTACAGTGATCAAAGTCTATTTGCATAACAATAAAGTGAAGTAACTGCAATTCAACATTTTGGCTTCAGTAACTGCAGCTTACTTACTAGATATAATGAAAGATCCATCTATAAAGCAATGACAGTGTCAAATAGAATGAAAATAGTAATTGGCACATTGCAGGAGTTCAAGCGATGAGCACACAATGTAAACGCTGTGAATAGCTTTACAAATTCAAATTGATTCAATTTATCAAATTGTGATGTTCCCAATGAGCTGCACTCTGTGCATGTACACGTACATCAGTGAATGGTCAAACATAAAACCTTCGAGGCATTGGAGGATTACAGTAAGGATCAAACAACAAGTGCAGTGAAACGTAAAGAGTGTTTTCAATAGATATGCTGCATATATTTATGCATGTAGTTGTATGCTTAGAAAGTGTTATTATGACAATTGTGGGACAAGTATGTCTTTGTGATGCCATTGCACAGCACAGATGTCAACAATAGACAATTGAGTAAAAAGAAAAATACATTTAAAAATACAAATGTATTTTTATCTGCAGGATTTGGGTATAAACCAACATATTGTACTGCTGCCTTAAGCAAGCAAATGTGCAAGGACGCTTCGAGATACTAAATTGACTGACATTGAACAATGTGATAACAATTGAAAATCAATAAATTGACGAGTGGTTGAGAAGCACGTATCATCAATACTGCATCAGTGACATGACAAAGACAAACTCAAAATTTTAGAAATGCCTCGACGTGTACATTGTAATGTGGTGGTGGTCACTAGGAACTTTAAATGCAATAGAATTCGTTGTATTCGCAAAATTTACAATTGAAGCATTCCTCACTATATAACCATAATGTACTGCGTACATTGCAGTTATAGATTGCAGTAAATTGCAGCCAATTAATATTCAATCTAAGTCGACGTTGTTAAACAATGACTCAATGGAAAAATAAATTGATTGAAAATTTGTCACGTTTTATTTAAATTAATTGCAATATTCATTTTACGCGAATGTATTATTGATTTTTTAATATGTAATGAGAATAATCACATTTAAAAAGAAACAAATATGTTTATTCAGAAAAATATAAGCCAAACAAACTAAAAGTATATCTATGGCGTCTATATTTATATGGTCAGTCAAGTTTCAATAAATTAATTAAAATTTTTGTTGTTGTTTCTTCAAAAACTTTTCGAATCTTTCCTATAAATAGACTAAGAGATAGTTCCAGTTCCTTATTGTATTATGAATTCTATTTCAAATTTTGATATTTGTGAATATTTAATATAAATAATTAATTATATTTTACTAGAACCCATTAACTAAATCATTATCCTAACTAAATCATTTATTTATTTATATATATATTGAGTTTTTTCAGCTTCTTGAATATTTTTAATAAAATCTTTACATTGTATGTAAAACTAAACCGCATGAAAGGGAAATTAATTAATTTTTTGCTTTAACTAAATAATAAAGACTGTTGCAATGACAAGTATAAGCTATAAGCCAAAATTAAGCTAACAAACGACTCTTCTTACCACAATTTGGGTACTTCAAAAAGTTAACCACATTACATGATGTCATAAAAATTGATAAAAATGACAAAAATGAAACGTTTTTTTTCTTGTTTTTGTGGTGTTATTGAAAGTTTTGCTTGAACTGATAATAATAATGATGAAGATTATGTTGCTGATAGTTGATGGTAACGTCAATGTTATTACATTGGACTTCGTCCAAGAAATTTTATTAAATTTCAGGATGCCTGGCATTTATTCTGCTCCAGTCAACAGTTTTGCATATATTCAAAGACAGCTAGAACAAATCAACATAAAAAATATAAAAAAAACTGCTATTGATTGTGATGGATTCTTATTAGGATCAGAATTCAAGCAAAAACGAATTCAGATTCCGAAAATTAAGCAGAAACGAGAATACATAAGAGAAAGAAAAATTACTTATAAGTAAAAAGAGAATTTGAAAAAAACTAAACTTGAAAAATTTTTCTAAATGTTAGTTGAAATCACATCTATTGTGAAATGGAAAGATAATAGGTTTCAAGTACGAATAAATTAATCTTCTTAGTGGTTTCATTATAAACGTTTTTGATGTAATATAGAATGTAGTTTCAGATAAATTGTAGATATAACTTTAAGCAAATCAGCTTACTTATTTATTGATTAGAATATAATATGAAATAATTTAAATTTGTCTTATAAAAATATTTCTAAAATTAATACTTTAAAGGTGCAAGTCTTTATAAGTGGTAGTGGTGTAAATCTTTAACTATTATTATTAGATATTCAAATTTTAATGGTACAAAGTTTAATCGAACGATCCAAATAGTTAACCCATAGTCTAACCACATTCAAAAACAAAACCTGAAATTGTAGATATTTTCATTTTAAACATCAGTGAAGTTTTCTATATTACTGCAGCTTTTAACCAAACATCAAACAAATTTAATACAGCTAAACACTACATACTTTATTTCAATAGAAAACATTTTCAAGCTGTAATAAGTCACTAACTAACATAACAAGAATGAATATGGAACATGCACCAAAATTTCTTGTTATGGCAAAGTCAATTTTGAAACTCGTCAACAAAATTAAAAATGAAATTTCCATTGTCCTAGCCATGAGATACTAGCCATCATCATCACTATCAATATCAATAGAGGCTGACCTGCTTTAGTGAGTAATAAAATTATCATCAACGTCACAATTACCAATGAAGTTATCTGCATGGCAATAATGCGCTTAATAGCAATAAATGACATAAGCAGCAAATTTGGAAGGAAATTTCAATTTTAGACTTTCACTGTCAATCACATGCAGTTGGGGCAAGTTTCCAAATTTGTACGTAAAATTAATATTTTGAACTAAGGTTCAAAAATTTGTATATAATTTGCTGTACCACAGTTTTTCATCTATATTCTCTTATGATTTCAATTAAAATATATGTACCTATACACATACAACTTAAAATATTCAAAGTTTGTTATAAATCTCTGGAATTCAGATACAAACAATTGCAATAATAATACTTACCACAGTTAGTGGATTATAGCCCACAGTTGTTGTTTTACGGAAAGGATTAGAGAATGGTAAATCCACATTAAGCAATTTTCCATTATACAGATCCACAACATAACGTATTTGTGAGTTTTTATCAGAACAGGAATCAATGGCATAAAGATGACCACATACAATAAACATTTCACCAAATTTTCGATGATCCAATGTAATGTTGAAATTATACTGCACCCTTAAGTTTTCAGCATCCAGCTATGAAAATAAATTAAGAATAAAAAATATAGCAGTGTTATGGTTCAATATAATTAAGTATGAATTGGCAAGGATATTCAAATGAAGACAGTTGCAGTTAGAAGAGATTTTAGAAGAATTGAAACTAGATTGTATTGAACTTTAATCTAAATTTGATATATATAGAAAGGATTCATTTTTAAATTGTTAAGAAACATAAAGAAAGAAATATTATATATTAATATAGTATATATATTATATTACCTGTACTATATACATTATATAGTATGTATAGTTGCATTCAATATAATGCAGCTATATAGATCTTCAAGAGTAGAAGTATTTAGATATATAAGCGTATAACTGAAAGTTTATTGGTAGATAAAACCTTGATTCAAAGCAATGATAAATTTATTTATGACAATAAAAGTACAAGAATCTTACAGAATGTGCTATATTTAATAAGTTTAAAACTATATATAACCGCACGTTTTTTCACATAATTTATTTGATGCAATCGCAATACATTTTGAAATAATATTAGAATAATAATAATAATTGCTTAGTATATCTAGAGTTACACTTTAATTGAACTTCACTTGAAAAACAATATTTTTTCCGACACTTCGAAGTTCGGTTTTAGCGAAACGTTCTGTACATATTTGTTTATATATATGTACTTACTGCTGTATGTACTTACTAGTACATAATATATTTTACTACATAACGAAATATATATAATTTATTTGTACTTTTAATGCAGTTCATAAAATCCATTTAAATTAAAGTTCAAATACAAATACGGAGTAATAAATTTCATTTTATGTGTAAATTGCTTATATTCAAGGCAACAGTTTGAACTTAACAATCTAAAAACTTTGAGAAAAAACTTAACCTCAACATAAACCAAAAAAATAAAAAAAAAATTTTATATTTGCTTCTTTTAAATACTATTTTTTTAAGTATTATCTAAGGCTTTTACAGTATCTTATTTGAAAAAATCTATATTTATGTTAGCTGTACATGTGCGTTGCATCAGTACATCAAGCAATATAACTTGGATTTGTATTTCAGTGTATGTAGGTACATGTAGTTAAGTACTCACCTTTGCCACAAGTGTATTGTTTGAATCATAAGTGCTGTAAATCACCCACAGGCCAACCTCGTCTACATTAAAATCCATGTAGTTATAGTCCGTAGAGTACAATTTGTTCCTACGTTCAACGCCAGCATACGGCAGACTAGTTGCTGTAAGTACAAAGAATGCCATTATAAAGATGTGTACTCGTATATATCCGTATTGGGAGTAGAGGAAAACATTAGTTTATAACATTTCTGCTCAATGTTTAGAATTTACTTTTATATAGAATTTCAATAAATACGATTTTGTATATAACTTCTTAATATTGTAGTAAGTGTAAACAATAAATTTCAAATCTCAATTCTGTACATACTATTAGTTTGTTTATACTAAATTTAAACTGTTTGCATTGTGAGATACAAATTTAGTGTAGCCATTACAGATACCAACATTTATAGAGCAGTTATTTTACCTTGCATTTAAGTTAGTATATTTGTGTGGTAGAATTGTGGCATTTCAGATATAAATTGATGCAAATTTTATTAACGTCTGTTAAACAATTGTATATAAATTGAAGAATAAATAGATATTATTATGAAATTAATTTTTTCCTATATTAGCTTCAGTAAAATTACACTGAAAAGCTAATTTGGAATAATTGTGTGGTACTATAATTAGGTTAGTATTAATAAAAGTTACATATTATAAATATAATGAATACTTAAAATGAGTTATTAAATATGTTTAGAATTCAAATAAAGGGTTTATATATATATTTATGATTTGGTGCGTAAATATTCTATTATTAATTTTATATTAATTACACTTAAAATCCATGACATTATTATTATTTACTTCAATGTTAATAATGCATAATTGTTTATTGATGTATACATAATTGAAGCAATATTTGCATGGACTACTTAATTTTTAAGTTATAAATTTTGAATTATAGTTCACAGATGTGTACTTAGATTTTACATTGTTTAGCTTTTAAAACAATGTTAAGGGTATTTAGACATGCTTGGTAATTTGGTGATCTGTTGAAATTTTATATATAAGAAACTTCAAATCTAGCTTAGTAAGGGCTACAGTCATATAAAGTCATATAAAAAATAGCTTCCACAATTTTACGCTTTATTCGGTCATACAAAAAGTCACATCACAATTATCAATTTTCACCTTTAGTCCTGTTTTGTTCGTTCTTACATTTAATTTAGAAGGTAATTATGTTTGTAATTATGTTTTAACTATATACTAGTTGACTTGATTACATACTAAAGTAACCTGATGATTTTGTTAAAGAAATTTTAACTTATGTGGTAAAGAAGATTTGAAAACCAACATAGTATGGTATGTATAGAGTAACATGATACGTAGAGTACGAATATTTTGACCTGAGATTTAGTTAAAATATGATTAAAACAATTAAATTATTTTTCTGAGTGTATTGGTTTGTAATTATGGCATTGAAAACAGCTTAAACAGCACTGTTTTAAATAACATGACGAAGCAGAGAAAACCTCATCACTGTGGTCCCTTATTAGTATAATTGTAAAAGTGCTGAATTAAAGCAAGAAAGTGCTATTATATTAATTTTTATAAAATAATGTTGTGAGTTAAATATTTATTTT